TTCACATGCTGCGACTCAAAGGATTGAACCTACCATGAGCCGCCGCTCCTCGCACCAAGCTCCTTACTTTCCATTTCCCCGTTTTTTTTTTGCTTCTTTTGGCCGGTGCCTGCCCGCCTCATGGTGATGAATGGACCACTTTGCACAACTTTTAGCCTCGTGCGAGCTCGGCATTGTGCGTTCCATCTTCGACATTAAGGCAGCAGCTGATCAAGCCCTTGCTCTCTTTCCTCGGCCACTCGGAGGATTGGCGTGCCATCATGCCGGCTTGGAGCACCGTGCTGCGTGCCGCGCACCCCATGCGCAGCAACGTGTCGCACCGGATGCGCCTGGCTGTCGGTGGGCTGCGCCACAAAACCACTCTAGACTTCCGAACCTGGAAAGAGGACCCGGCCGCTGTCCTGCAGAACGCACGTCGTCGTAACGTTCGTCTTGATCTAGATCTCGTCCTCGCTCGTCATGACGCCTTTACCGATCTCGAGTACCAGTCCCGCCAGCTGCGTGCTCGCCGCAATGAAATCACCGCCGACATCAAGGTGCGAACTCTCGAGGAGGTTGCCCAAGCAGACAAAAGTTGTGCAGTCTTGATATTAAATCGGTGAACAAGTCAGGGCTCGCATCAGCCGTGCCCTCTGCTGCCACTTTGCTTGCACCTTTCATTTTCTTGCCTGCACCTAATTCCTATGCCACCACAGTCGGCTCACCAGGCCGGTGACGATGCGGTCAAGCAAGCCCTCGCAGAGGAGGCCAAGAGCTTGCGCAGTCGCCTCGCTGACGTTGAGGTGAGTACTCAAGGCAGAACAATGCAAAACAAGCAGTTGACCGCCGAAGCTTTTTTTTTATCTTACACAACCTTGCTGCAAATTCACAGGCAGAGCGCGATGCAACCTACCTTGAGCTGATGCAAGAGGCCCTTCACGTCCCGAACCACACACATCCAGCCGTGGTAAGACAGAACTGAAAAGTCAAGAGTTGCGCTCCTTTGTGACTGTTGACCAGCACACTGGACCGGCCCTCCTATCGTTTGCATCCGGTTCTCTGCTTGTTTATTCGAACAATGTTACTATCTTCCCTCATGGCACAGCCAGATGAAGAACCTACGGTTCTACAAGTTGTGGGCAGTAAGCCAGGTGCGAACTTGCCGCCTGGTGCTGCTTACACGTTGGTCAAGCGTTTTTCAGTTTTTTAGATTTTTTTTTAGATTTTTTTCTTTTCTTGGGACTGTTCACGTATGGAACTTGCTGGTCTGCGCCTAGTGTTTGATTTTGAACCTCGTGATCACATTGCGCTCGGCGAGATGCACGAGCTTTTTGATTTCGAGTACGTCGCGCCGTCATGCTCCCCTGTCCTTGCACGCTTTGTTTGTGAGGGGAGAGAAGAGGCGAGCCCCGACACGCTTCCGGGCACCTTTATTTTTTTTCCTGCGGTCGCTCAACCTCAAATGCCCTGCTGAACTTTTGTTCTCCTGCGCTAGAGCGGGTGCTCGAACAACAGGCACAAGCTTCTACTACTTGAAGAATGCTGCGGCTGCTTTAGAGATGGCTCTCATCCAGCTCGCGCTCAATCGCATGATGCTGGCGGTAGGCCATTTTTGCTGCTTGTGCTACTCTTTTTTGGCCTCTATGCTTGTTTTATCCGCGTGCTCTGCAAGGCATCCGCGTGAGAAAGAAAGTGAAGCTCGTGACAGATCTCATTTACTTTTTGTGCCTGCATACCAACAGGGTTACATGCCCGTTTCCCCGCCAGACGTGGTGCGGGAATCTCTCGTGGCCGGATGCGGCTTTCAGCCACGCGATGAGGCTTCCCAGGTGCGCTCCGGCTCGTTGGTCAAGATGTTTTCTTCAGTACACCCGCTTAGATGGAACCATCGCCGCCGCCTCGAATAGGTGTACGAGCTTGCGAGCAAGCATGCGAGTGGGGCTGGCACGCTGTGTCTGGCTGGCACGGCTGAGATCCCTTTGGCAGGTTGGCATGATCGCTTGCGCATCATGAGTCATGCAGACTCAAAATTTAGTGGGCTTATCGTGTCATGCCTTTGACGGAGTTTATAGGTCTCAATATGCAGCGTACGTTTGCTGCGGAAGAACTGCCACTCAACATGGTCGCCTTTGGACGGGCGTTCCGCTGCGAAGCCGGTAGGAGCCACCAACGATGGATTGACACAGATGCACATTGGTTTTGATGCTGGGTGCGCTCGTAGCTCTACCATGCCTGCCTGACTCTACTCACTCGTTCATATAGGGTCGCACGGTACTGCCACACGAGGCTTGTATCGTGTGCACCAGTTTAGCAAGGTGCGCCAATGTGGTGGTGGAACTCAAAGTGTTGTGGTGGAACAGCAAGTTGACATCTATTGCCCCGTGTCGCTTATTGCAACCCATGTTCCTGTGCGTGCAATGTGCAGGTCGAGCTCTTCTCGATCATGCCAAACGATGAAGCGCTGAGCAATGCGATGCATGAGAAAATTCTGGCTGATCAGGTCCAGCTATTTACTGATCTGGGGCTGCACTTTGAGGTGTGTTGGTGGTCAATTCTTTTTTGATTTTTGTCTTTTTTGTCAGGGCCACTACCACATGTGACAATTGGCACGGCTTGGTTTCTTGTTGGGGCTGGTGAAGGTGGTCTCACTTGTGACATCTGTGTCGCTGTGTTCGGGCTGCTGCTCCAGGTATTAGACATGCCAGCACATGATCTGGGAGCGCCGGCCTATCGAAAATTTGACATTGAGGCGTGGATGCCCGGGCGAGCCAGCTATGGAGAGGTGCGTTGGCGTTGTTCCGGGTAAGGAGGCCTTGACTGGAAAGCTAGTCACGCCCACTGACAAGATAACGTTCCGTCGTTGGGGCAGATCTCGTCCACCAGCAATTGCCTGGATTATCAGTCTCGCCGTTTGGAGATTCGATGCAAGACGGCAGACGGGACATCTTCAGGATTTGCACACACGGTCAGTTCTTTGCACGGCAATTCGCGAAGATGCGTGCGGGGTGCCACCACTGATCAATGGTTGTGTCTTGCCACCTCACATGTGTCCTTGTGCCTCTAGCTGAATGGGACCGCGTGTGCGATACCACGCTTGCTGATTGCGTTGTTAGAGACACATCAGCAGGCGGATGGGAGAATCCCTATGCCAGCCGTTCTGCACCCGTTTTTACCACCCCAGTACCACGTGCTGGTGCCCAAGCAGCCCAAGCAACCAACGGCGGCCTAGCTCAACCGAGTTTTCGTAATGCTGCCATGCCAATTTAATTGCCTACCAATCTTGTGCGTCATGATTCTCTCGAAGGATTCAGCTGGATACATCTAAAAACACACATCATACCCAACTAGTTGAGAGGTTGCAAGATTCGAGCCGACCAGGCAGGGCCATCATGGCATAGCACTGATAACTGATGGAAATCGTGAAAAGGCTCGGCTGTGAGTCGAGGGCAGGCGCCACTGGCTGGCTGGCAGCCGGGACCCATGGGAGATTAGTCAACTGCATGCCGGCTTAAGTCAAAAGTCGATTATCGCCGTCTTTCACGTGCAGGCACCAGCAGGCCGCTCCAGGAACCGCAGAACATGCACACTTCTCCAAGTTGAAGCCCCGCCCTCGTTGGCACATGCCTTGGTGTTGACGCTGGCTTGCGCATCGCTGACGTTTGCGCGCGCGTATCTTGTGCTCCTGCTTGTGTAATGCATACATGTGCAGTTCAAAGGGACGCTGATTGAAGTTGCGCACGTGTCTTGGTGACCCCTTGACACAGCAAGGGAATGTTGTTGTTGAACGCGATTTTTAATTTTTTTTTGTTGAGGGCACGTGGGATTGTATGGTATGACCTTGCTTATGAGACCCACATCAGGATTGAGCATCAAAAGTACTCCCATCACCTTCGTCACCTTGCCCAAGCAACTGTACAGGGTCACGACTCACAACTCCAACAACCCATCTCTCACCATACCATTGTGATACGCGCCTGACGTAACTCGTCACCATGCAACAATAATTTTTTTGTGATCCCACATACACGTCCACACAACACATTTATGACACGACACAATTTATGAACATTGGACCAGCCGAAAAGGGGGTTGCGGACAAATGTTGTGGTTGGCAGGCTGCCGGCCCATTGACAAACAAATCCTTCAAGCTTTTTGGGCCATTCCGTTTAGTCTCGCTGGAGCCTTCTGGCACACGCCAAGCGAATCATGTGGTGGTGATGTCGCTCAACCTGCTGCGCACGTGACTGAGGGCTCAATACATTCATGAGTTAGAACGCCTTTACTGAAGCCTGTCGAGCTTCCAAGATGGAAGGGAAGAAAGCGCATTCAGTACGCGCGAGCCGCTCACCGAGGAGTAACTGAGAGCCAACTCCTGCCTTACACGCTTTACTACCCCTGTCCCCATGCCGACATCTCACGAAACATGCGTCTCATTGAACAGACGGTTCTCAACAACACACACAGCTCAATTTCATGTGTTTCTCAACTACTCCTTCTCACTAACGAACAATGTGCTTTGTCAATGCGATTCCATCATTGATTCCATCCAAGTACCTCCACCCCCAACAACTCTTGCTCGCCCATATCTTGGCTCTCCCTAGCCTGTGCTATCTCCGCCCCTCAACGTTTTCCTCATCGTCGGCAGAACTGACCGCCTGCCAACGCCGATCGTTTCCCAAGCGCCGCCACCTTCCTGCCCGTCCAGCCATGATGCCTCCGGCGTTGTGTCTCTATCGCTCACTGACCATGCTCAACGTGTTTCTCCATATCTCTGACGTTGTCTGTCCTTGACGCTGTCTGTCTCTCGACGCTGACGCTGACTGTCTGCATTGATCTCTTCCAATTTCGTGTCTTAATACCCCCTGACTCAAAAAAAATCCGAATTTCGAAGCCCCCACTGCTTGGTTTGTGTGAATGTGTGAAGTGTGGATAGATTGTTGTTGGGTGTGGACGCTCATGTCCCGTGCCACCCATCCGCTTGCGCAGCTCGACTT